ACCCCAAGCTTAAAATATATAGATGTAGGTGGGTATTTTTAGTTCACAGAGCAGCTGAGTGGGTAAACAGCAAGTGCAGGTTGATGAACTCCTCAGTCGGAATCAAGCTGGTTGAAGCTTTTAAGAAGTTGATAAAACCTCAGGCATTTGGAATCCAGAGCGAACCTCTGCATGAGTCATTGAGCCAACTGTCAATCATCTGTCGGCCGAGGCTCTAGATTCCAGGTGTTCAAGCCTCAACGTTCACAGCACCGGTGTCATCTGAAATCATTTTAATACCTGAAAGGATCACTTTTCTCCTGAAAACCTGTGGCTTTCTTGGGGCTCGAAAAACGGAGTGAATAGAGAACCCGAATTCTCAATGCCTCCTCTTCAGGAGAGCGCGGAGGCCACACAGGGAATACGGGGCCTCCGGGGACGGGCACGTCGGGGAGGCCACCTGTTCAGGGTATCCGAGTTGGTTGCACATCGTCTTTGAGCTATTTCACAGCTCTGGACCTAGCAGGGAACTGATAACAACACAAAGCCAGCCCTACCCACACGTGAATTCCGCCCTGTCTCCTGGAAGTCCCATCAAATTCCCTCTCCCTCATGGAAAACTCCATGCGTCCTTGTCCATATCCCTGGTCTATCTATTAGTCTGTGCCTGTTAAAACACCTGCGTGATTCTCCTGATTGAACAGAATGCAATCTTTAACATGTGGGCTTTTGGGGTGTTTTTTATTTTTTTAATCTTTGTAACAGACTTTTACCTTTTTCTGAAAATCGTCTTTTTTCTAATAATGTAGGAAGATTTGAGTATTTTCCCATATGCTATAGTTTGGAGATGGAAAATGTCCCTCAAAGGCTCGTGGGTCAAAGGCTCTGTTGCCAGTGAGGCCCTATTGAGAGGTGGTAGAACCTTTAAGAGGTGGAGCCCAAGGGAAGGAAGTTACACCTTGGCACTGTGACCTTGAAGGAGACATTGAGACCCCACCCTTTCCTCTTTCTTCTTCCTCTCGCTGATTCCTGGCCACCAGGAGGTAAAGCTTTGGCTTCTGCCATTATATTCTGCCTCACCATAATCCCAAAAGCACTGGATCTAACCAACCATGGGCTAAAACCTCTGAAACCTTGTGTCTAAATAAGACTTTATTCCTTTAAGTTTCTTACCTCAGGTACTTTGTCACAGTGACAGAAAGCTGATACGCCATATATCCTCAAATATGCCTTTGTCTCCCGTCCCCTGGCCCATTACTACTATAGGTGAATTCCTACGGCAACTAACAGTGGTCATATAGCAGACTGTTTCTTTTGGAAATGCATTAGCTAGTGGATAATTGCCTTTTCTAAATACAGTTTATTGTATTTATTTATTTTTTCAGAAAAGGAGCTAAATCAGAGGAGGTTAGCCCACCAAATACAAGTTACACGTCTTTCTGTGATAACACTTTGAACAATCATTACAAATCAAATAATAATAGCATCAGTATCTTTTGCATTCAGAAAAGCATATCTGACTAGGACAACAGGATACCTGGGTTCAACTGGTTTTTTCCAGGCACAATGACAGGTTTGTAATCTCAGATTTAATTATCTACTGAGAGCTTCAGGTGTTGGCCATCATGGTTGGGTATGAAAAACCCTTTATTAGGACAGAATTTTTTTTTCAACTTAACTTTTTTTTTTTTGACTCTGTAGGACAAATGGGTTCAAGTTCATTTCTGCCTCTGCCTAGCCCTGGTGGGGGGCGGGGGCGGGGGAACTGCCTAGCCCTGGGGAAAATCATGTACCCTGGGACTGGGAGTTTCTAATCCATTAAAAAGGGAGGTGGAGAAATGGATTAATTGTTTTAAAAGTGACTCAGGGGATTCTCTATGCAGCCAGACCCAGGAATCACCTGTCTATCCCAGTGGGAGCCCTAGAGAAGTGACTGAGGTAAATGCAGACAGATGTGTGAACAGGGTCCTCCGTCCTCCGTAAGGGAGATGAGAGACTCCTGGCTCTTTAAGCACGCCTGCACCTCCTCAGCACACCTCTGCAATGAAGAATTTATCCAAGAACATTAAAGAACAATGCGTTCTTTCTCTTCCCGCACTTCATCAGAAGAAATACCCATTTCCGGGGCAGGGATGCTGCTCAGTGGTAGGACACTTGCCTAGCATACCCAAGTCCCATCCCCAGCACCGCAGACCAAAAGAAAAAGGAAAGAAATGCCCATTTCAGTTTTGCAAAAATTAAGATGTCATTTGTCAACCCCGGGGTGCTTGGCTCTGCTGGTCCCTGTGCACTCCTAGAAGTGGAGATTAAAAAAGAGGAGCCAGTCAGTCCCTAGAAATGGATAATGTTCCAGAGAAACCCTGGAGCCAGTGTTCTCTGGACGACTCAGGGACCCTCCTTGGGGGAGCAGAGCGCAGGGCTGTCGTGGGGAGGGTGTTTCTAGTCATCTACCTGGAGCATTTCCTGTGTTCTAAGTGAAAGTGACAATTTCTCCTTCACTTCAGTTTGTCATAAGCAGGGGACTTCCTGGGCAGGAATGCCTGGAGGAGAATGGAATCCATTTTTGCATGGGGAGTTTTCTTCATGCTCCAGGAAACTCAGAACTGTGTTTCTCTGGGCTTCACCCTGAGCACATCCAACAGTTTTGATTGGCAGGGCTTTGTGTGTGTGAACAGAAAACTGCAAGACCTCAGCAGGACCGGGGAGCAGAGACCTGGGAGCAGAGATGCAGAGAGTGGGCAGGAACCTTCTTTGGGATTAGAAAGTACCCACATCCAAAACCGGAGGACTAAGGGCTGGGGGTGCAGCTCACAGTGGTAGGGGTTGCTCAGCACACACTCTAGGTTTGAGCCCCAGCACTGGAGAATAAAACAAAATAAAACCCTCAAGTATGTGCATCAAAAAGGATATTAGGACTTGATCAACGACTCTTGACAGGGGCAGTTTTGCCCTTCTAGGGAATATATGGCAATGGCTGGAGGTATTTTTGGTTGTCACAAGTGGGCGGGGGTGGGGTGCTATTGACGTCTAGTGGGCAGAGGACAGAGATGCTGCTAAGCATCCTAAGGAGCACAAGACACCCGCCCACAACAGACCTGTCTAGCCCCAAATGTCAATGCCGATGATGCAGAACTTGAGAAAGATGAACTTGGACTAGATGAACTCCAAATTTCCTTCCAACCCCAAGACATCATGATGTTAAATGCAACTTCCGGTCCCAAATAAGAAGCCTGTTGCTGGGCTGAGGTTGCAGGTAGGTGGCACAGCACTTGCCCGGCATTCCCGAGGCCCTGGGTTCCATCCCCAGCACCAAAGATTAGAGCTAAAAGAAAAGGCTATTGCTATGGACCGATCTGAGTCCCCCATCTGGATTCATATGTTGAAGCACTAATTCCCCAATGTGAGCACACTCAGAGACAGGGCATCTAGGGAGGAAATTAAGGTTGAATGAGCTCATAAATCCATCTAATAAGATTGATGTTTTTGTTTTTTTTTTTTTGGTACCGGGGATTGAACTCAGAGGCACTTGACCACTGAGCCACACCCCCAGCCTTGTTTTGTATTTTATTTAGAGACAGGGTCTCACTGAGTTGCTTAGTGCCTCGTTTTTGCTGAGGCTGGCTTTGAACTCACGATTCTCCTGTCTCAGCCTCCAGAGCCCCTGGGATTACTGGCCTGCACCACCCATCGGCAGATTGGTGTTCTTAGAAGAGACACCAGAGTTTGTTTTCTCTCACCCTCTGCCTTCCCTGCAACTCCTCTCCTGCCCCTCTCTCCTCAACATATGCACCAGACACCACACAAGCACACAATGAGAACACAGCCTTCTCCAAGCCAAAGAAGCCTCAGAATGAAATCTCCTGGGCCAGCACCTTGGACTTTCCAGCCACCAGAACCGTGAGAAATAAATGCCTATTGCTTACACCTCCCAGTCTAGGGCCCTTCCTTATGCAGCCTGAGCTGACTAATGTACCTCTTTGCTGCCCATTGTTGGTAATTGCCATGGCTGACATCTTCTCGTGGTTTACTATGTGCTAGGCACTGTGCTAAGCATCAGCTACACCTCACCACACTCCTCAACACACCCCTAAGAAATGGGAATTTCGGTGATCAAGGCAGAGGGATAAATGAAAGACCAGAGAGGTTACACAACTTACCTAAGATCAACCAGTCAGTAAGTGGGAGAAGCAGGCTTTGAACCAAGGCAGGCTGATCCCTACTGAAGAATTCATGTATTTATTTAATGACTACAAGAGACCATCTTCCCACATTGTCTCTCCATATACTAAAAATCATAAACTTCCAGGGAAGACAGGAAAGTGGGAAAATTGCCAGAAAATGTGGAAGTCAAAAATCATTGTGTCTTCCTCAAAAAGCTAAATATAGACTTACCATATGACCAGCATTTGCACTTCCAGGTATAAGCCCAAAATACTTAAAAACAAGCACTCGGGAGCTGGGGGTGCAGCTCTGTGGTAAAATGTGTGCTTAGCATTTGGGAGATCTGGACCCCATCCCCAGCACTGCAAAACAATGACAAAGACTCAAACCAGTACGTACCCATCAGTATTTATAGCAGCATTTCTCACAATGGCCAAAAGGTAGGGAAAACCCAACTGTCCATCCACAGAAAAATGGATAAACAGAGGGTGGTCTACTCATAAAAGGAATATCACTTAGTCAGAAGAAGGAATGAGGTACTGACACGTTCAACTACCCCGAGGCACCTTGAAAACATCTTGCTAAGTGAAACAAGACAGACCCAAAAGGTCACATGACTGTGAGTGTCATATATAAAATATCCTGGGCAGGTAGATCCCGAGATGGAAAATAGTCATTTCCTAGGACTTGGGGAAGGAACATGATAGGGTCCAGGACACGCTACCCCAAAAGCTGGCATCTTAGCATTTGAGAAAATAGCAGAAATAGGATTCCCACCCCAAGACCCTCACGGGACAATTGTCCTGCTCTATGCCCAAAAGGAAGAAATGTCGCACATACATGCCAAGAAGAATCAGAACTAAAGGTCTTGCTAAGTTCCTTCCAGTTTATTCCCATTATATCATCCCCTTTAGTCCCTCGTACTGGAAGTATCTGCACAGCTGTCCATACAAATATAAACATTGCCCTTTTCTTTGGGGTTCCACTTCCAAAGGTTCTCATGTCATCCAAAACCCAAAATGCTCCCAAATCTGAAATCTTCTGGCACCGACCTGACGCGACAAGTGGAAAATTCTACATCTGACCTCACGTGATGGGTCACATTCAAAACACAGGTGCACCAAAAATATTATAATCAGTTGCCTTCAGGCTGGGTGTATAAGGCACATACCAAAAAAAAAAATGAATTTGGCATTCAGTCTTGGGTCCCCTTCCCAAGGCATCTCATTTATGTATAGGCAAATATTCCAAAATCTGAAAAAAAAAAATAAATCCCAAATCTGAGATATTTCTGGTCCCAAATATATTGAACAAGGAATATTCAACCTGTATTAAATAAATCTGTCTTGCTTTTCTTTTGTTAATCTGTGTTTTTTGTCAGAGGGATCTCAACCATGAACCCAGCAGCTGATGAAGAAAAGGAGCCTGTTTCCTACAGGGACTGCTTAACAGGTGCGGGGTTTCCTTTGGGCTGAAGAAATGTCTTGGAACTAGGCAGAGGTAAGGGCTGTACAGCATTGTAAATGTACTCAACACTAGTAAATCGTACACCTTAAAACAGTTGGCAGTTAATTTTGTGTATTGAATATGGTACTTCATTCTTCTGGTTATTATTATTTTATCTCAGTAGAGAAGACAAATGAAGCTAACCTCAGCCCACCTCTGGGTAAGCCTTTGAGAAATAACAAAGGACTGATCCCTAGGAAAATGGGCCTCTCTGCTCCTGGAATCCAGCCCAGCCACCCAGGACCCCAGCTGGCTGCTCTTGAGGATGTCCTGCGCACTGGTTTTAACCACCAGGATGTGCTCCGGGGCCACTTTGCTGTCTATTTAAAGAGGATAAAGATGGATGGATCCTGCAGCCGTGGACAGCTGGTCACCGGCACTCCCAGACAGGGAGACAGAGATCAAGACAGAAAGCAAGGATTTGGTCCTGAAAAAAATGAGATCCTATTATATACATTTCCTGGGTCTCATTTGTCTCCCTCAGTGATCCTCCAAGACAACTATTGCTCTCATTTTTTTGTTTTTAAGGTGGTGCTGGGAATTGAATCCACCACAGCCTTGTACATGCCGGTCAAGGGCTCTACCGCTGAGCTACGTCCCCAAATCTAATTTGTTCCTTTTTAACAATGGCATATCCTCTCACAGCGGAGGAACAATGACTTTCTTGACCATTCTTCTAATAGGTCTGTACTTAGGGCCCAGCTTATTTTGCACATAGATCTTTGTGTACAAGTGCTTTTCAACACATAGAGGCCTATACTCTGTATATTCTGTTCTGTTTTTTGTTTTTTCCTTCAGATCAGATGAATCTTTCACCTTTTCATAAGGGCTAAAATCCCAGGGGTGAGATTGCTGACTCAAAGCAAACAAGCATTTTAAATTTTAAGAGATGATACCTGAGCCAGGTGCAGTGGCACACGCCTGTAATCCCAGCAACTGGGGAGGCTGAAGCAGGAGGATCACGAGTTCAAACCCAGCCTCAGCAATTTAGCAAGTCCCTAAGCAACTCAGCGAGACCCTGTCTCTAATAATAATATATATGTATGTATGTGTGTGGAGGGGGCATATATATATATATATATATATATATATATATATATATATATATATAAAATATGTGCATATGAGTGGGATGTGGCTGGGGATGACAACATTTAGCTAAGAGGGCAAAATATCCTGGATCCTGTTCAATCCCCAGTATGAAATAAATAAATAAGAGATGCTATGTGATTGCTTTCCAATAAAGATCACTCCATTTGCCCACTGATACTGTCTCAAATGAGCTTCTCTGCCTGAAATTAGAATGTCTTTTAAATGGACCAGTCTATTAACTGTGGCTTGTCGGGTTCTTCGTTTGTTTGTTTGTTTGTTTGTTTAATGGTTCCAAAACACAGCTGACTATGAACAGTGCCCCTCACCTGTGCTGGTATCTGAGAATCAAGGAGATAGGCCCATGCAATACACCTGGCCCAGCCCTCTCACCTCCTAGGGTTCTGACAGTGGTATCTGTTCCTGTTACTTTGTACCTGATCTGAAAGTCTTGCATCTTTCCTTCAAAGGAAGCGGGTTCCTCTAACTGCAGCATCAGGAGCAAAGCATGCAAACCAGACAAGGGGGTGATTCAGACCAACCGAGATGCTCCCTAACTTTATTTTTTTTCTACAATTTTGAAGGTTTACAAAACAAAATGAAAGCATTTGGCACCTCAACTCTGAATTATCAAGTCAGCAACTGTCCATTGAATGAGAAGCTTCTAAGTGCTTCTTGTGTGATACACACTGGGCGTCCAGCTTCCAGCAATGAATGGGATGCCGGGGGTCAATGCATCCGCAGCAAGACTGAAGTAAATAGCCCATAAAACTTGGTTTGACCCTATTAAGATTCATTGTCTCTGAGACAATGGCCTTTGAGGCCAGCAAAAACTCGTCTGTCAGCAAAACAACTGAATTAATCTCTTCACAACATTTAGCTAAGAGGGCAAAATGTCCTGGATCCAGTTTCACAAGGACTGGAAGAGATAACAGAACCTTTGGGGGCCTTGGATTTGCAGCACTGCAAACAGGAACTATTCTCAATAGACCTTAAATCACCTGAAGTGCCAGGCATGGTGGGGCACAGCAGTAATCCCAGCGGCTTGGAAGGCTGAGGCAGGAGCATCCCAAGTTCAAAGCCAGCCTCAGCAACTAAGTGAGGCCCTAAGCAACTTAGTGAGACCCTGTCTCAAAATAAAAAGGGGTGGGGATGTGGCTTGGTGTTAAGCACCCTTGTGTTCAATCCCTAGTACCAAAAAAAAAAAAAAAATCAGCTGAAGCCAGGGACCATACACACCCTGCTCAAAGTGCTACTGTACTCTTGAGAGGGCGGCACAACACCTGGCCTAGAAGGGCCGTCAGTAAATACGTATGGGGCAGATAAATGGATGGAAGGATTAATAGAAGAATGAATGACTTACCTGTTTGGGAATTTTTTTATGAACAGAATAATTCCTGCTATCCACTATAGTCATTTTCCACCTTGGATTTAGAGAACCTAGGGAGACACTGCTCTTCAATGACAGGGCCACCTCTCACTCAGACTTTGATCACCTGCTCCTTCCACCCAGTCCAGGAGGCCTTTCTTAACAAATGTTAACAGCTAAACTGAGCTGAACCTTAACACCGTCAGCCTCAGTGCTATTCAGGGCCCCATAAGTCATGCTTTGCCATCCTCATTTTACTCATTTTACAGATGAGGTCACTGAGGTTTATGGATGTTAGGCCAATCGCCCAAGATCACACCCTGGGCAGCAGCAGAGGGTGGGCTGGAACACAATCAAAGACTCCTGAGGGTGGGTGCTGGGCCTTCTCTGGCTCTGGACCCCTGAAGCTAGCACATAGCAATGCTCGAGGCTGTTCAGCAAGCGTGCAGCGAAGGAATGAATGGATCGGATGCTGGGCCTCTTCGGGGGACCTCTTGAGAGGTGCTCTGAGAGGCTACACCAAAGGAGAGCCTCTATCTGTACTGGCCTCCAACCCTCGTGCTCAACCAGGGAGCCAGCCGGTGGTTCACCAGACACTCCTGCAAAAGCCAACAGACCCAGATCTCTCTATGCCGAGAGCAAAAGAAACAGCAAAACAAACAAACAAACAAAACCCAGTACGTGGACTCTGGCCTTTGGAACCTCCACCCGCCTGCCCCATGCTGGCAGCTCACCTGAGATGCCCTTCTCTTCCCTCTCCGCCCTCTGAGACTCTGTTTAGTCCTCAGGCCCAACACAAGCACATTCCTCTGAGCTGCTGGCCTGGAGCCTCCAGTGTCCCCAGCCCCTGGAACACCACCTGGCATTTTGAAGACACTCAACACCTATCTGCTCCAGGCATACATGGGAGTGGTGATGAGTGTCATCTTTCACCATGTGTTTTTATATTTCAGATGAACCTGAATCTTTTATAGTAGTTTTTGTTTGTTTGAATATTTTATAGTAATTTGGGGTTTTTTTTTTTTCTGTGCTAGGATTAAACCTGGGGCTTCATGCAGGCTAGGCAAGTGTTCAACCACTGAGCTACACTCCCAGCCCACATATGTTACTTTTATAATAAGAAAAAAGGAAGGATGCTAAAACAAAATAATAAAATGAGTCTATTTAATCCAACAGATGAAAATAATACAAAACCTTCCCCAAGAATCTTTTCTGTAGATCGCCAGTCGTTGACATTACTTCAGTCATCACACTGTTTATTAAGTCTGAAACATGGACCAGCTTAATAATCTACTTGCTAGTCAGCACACGTCCTTGGACTTTTAAATACCAGGCATCTCCCCCTGGGCTTAGGGAAAGATTGACACCTGGGTTTTCCACTCTATTTCAATCTCCTTCTCACAGTGCATTTATTTCTACCTCAATACTGATAAGGATGTTATTTCCCCCTGTGGTATCCTCTCTCCACTGGGCCACCCTCTCCCCTACTTCTCCTGCCACAGAATCTTGATCATGTTTTAAGGTGCATTCAATTGATGAAGAAATGACCACAACCATAGATAACTGTAACGTTTAAAAGCCCTGAGTTGTTGTTGCTGTTGTTGTTTTCAAAAGACACCTTGTCTTTTCGTCTCCCTCAATTAATTACACTTGGATGAAAGCTTTCTTTTTATATATCTCAACACTCTGAATTGTCACTATACATTTTCCAACTCTGTTTAAAAAAAAAACTCACTGCTAATCAGAAAGTGCTGTCAAAGGTGGATGAGAGCAATGTCTCAGAATCTGTCTCAAACAAGAAAATACTAGATGGCTTCCCAGGGTTCAAAAACCTTTCCCCACATAGTCCCAGGAGGAAGGCAGTGTATAGACAATCAATACCCAGAATTTGCAAATAAATGGCAGCAATGAAAAGCTGTGCCTGTTAACCTCAGAATAATCTCTGCAAAATGCTGTTGGGTGCTGTCCAATCGTGTCCTGCCTGGCATTTTGAAGCACTCGATACCTGTCCACTGATACCTGTTCACCCAATGAATAAACGGAAGTGGTGATGATGGTTCTCTTTCTCCTTTCACTTGTATATTTCAGATGAACTTGAATCTTTTATCATGACCTTCATTTATTGTTCACTGAGCACTCTGGGTGCCATGCACAGTGCTACGTGCATTGTCTCATTCAATCTTCCAAGTGCCCGTTACTATTATTATCCCATCTTACAGATGAAACAACTGGTGGAGAACCTCACAGTCTTCCCACAGTGATAAAGCTACCAAGGGACAGAGCTGGTTTGAACTCAGTTTGCCTGACTTCAAAGCTCCCATTCTCTGTTACTATCCTATAGAACATCGCGTATCTCTTATTTTAAAAACTAGAGTTGACATGAAAGGCAGCAGTTAATACAACGTTAACTAAAAACAACCAGTTCTGCAATCTTTCTTCTCTTTTCAATCCTTTTTAATTTATGTGTATTCAATGTTCAGCATAAAATATTTAAACGTGAGGAAGTCAGACAAAGCATGACTTCTTTTTAAGAGGGCTTTTCTATTCTCTGGCATCACATTGGCTGAGCAATTGCTATGCCACAGAATCAATAGTACTAGTTTTCACACATCATTAATAAATAAATGGAGGTTCCCAGATGTGATGGAAGGGATTCATCATCCCCTGGGAATTGAGTCTTCCAAAGATGCCACTTGAATCAAATTTATGTCTGGTTGCAGACAAGAGTCCAGAGACCCACACTTTAACAGATTCAAGATTCCAAAGTGGGACCCTGGATTAGTGCTTTAAGAAGATTTCAAACTTGAATAGGGGAAAGTGGGGGGAAAACAGATTTGGGGATCCATGCAAAAGTAGATCAGAGACTGGGGGTCTCATATTGGGCCAAGAAACAAGTTTCAGAGTCCTTGATGATTTGAAAGCCTTTTGGCCAGACTTTTAATAGTTTGCAGCTTAGGACTGAGAAGCACAAAAATTTCAGGGGCTAAAATGACATAAATTGATGTGTGTGGCAATTTTCCTGTATGCTTGAAATTTTCCCAAATAAAATGGTCAGAAAATAAAAGGCAGTAAGAGAGAGAGATTAGGAAAATGACCCACACTTTTGTTGTAGCCCAGGGTCTTGCTTTATGTAATTCCCTGGTAAGAATAAAGGCAAGTTCCTTGAATAGATTTAGTAGTAAAGGAAGCAACCGGTATGTAGCAAGCACTTCCCTTGAGCTCTACGAACTCGATCTCATTTAACATTCACATGAAGCCATAAGGTAGGTCTAAGTATGATCTCCATTTTCAGAAAACAGAGGCAAGGTGAGGCTTAGAATTGTGCCTAAAGTCACACTGTCAGCAAGGGGCAGCACGAGGATTCAGACCAGGGCTTCTACTCTGCATGGACCCAGCATTCTTTCCAGGCCCCTGTAAGCTGCAGAGACATACAGGGCTGCTACACATAAAATCACTGACCATATCCTGGGACTCTCTCGACAGATTTAAGAAGGTTCCTGAAAATGCAAAAACAATAAACCTTCATGCTGAGAATCTGGGGTCCAACAAGCATGAGTCCAAACCCTGGCTTTGCTACTCAACAATCATGTCATCTAACAAGCTCCAGGGTTTTCATCCATGCCAGGGGGAATTCATGATGCCAGAAGAGGTTGTTGTGGAGATTAAATGAGATGATGCTTTAAAGTTCTTAGGGCATGATAATCTGGGAGGGGAGCAGCCATTGTTGACATCATTTTGAGTTTGTAGGAAATAGACACTCTCACCCCTGAGGTTGCACCAAAGCACCAAAACCAAAGGGTTTGGAAAGGATGAAACAGGAGAAGGAAGGAGTGGGCATAAAACCAAGAAGAAAAGGAAAGAGATTCAAAGCACTGTGTATCCCTCATAGCAGGTGAGGAACTAATACATGTGATTGTGATTTCAACTTGAACCCATCAAAATACAGCTGAGCCATCCTAGGAAGATTTCCTTACATTGTAATTACAGAAAAACACACACACACAATTTTTCACCCAGGTAAAGACGGGAGAAGAGCTTATACACAATACTTCAGTCCAACATAACTCGGATTGGTGCTAGGGCAGAGCGCTGAACACAGTTACCCAGAGCAGGGTCCCAGAGGAGGCAAGAGGGCCTTTCTCAGCCTGGCAGGAGGCACCCGGGCTAGGGCAAGTCTCTATCCACAACTGGGGACACTGGGAAGTCCCTGCCCTCCCTGGGGCTTGCAGGGAGGGCTGGTAACCCTGGAAGCCCTGAGGCTGCTCCTGCACTTTGAGAGCAGGAGTTTCAACTATTGTGTACTATTAATTAGAAACAAATATCCTTCGTTAATTTGGAAATGTTGCTGACACCAAATACCCCAGAAGAGAGAACCAGTAAACGCAGCCCTTTGGTTTCAGAACCGCCTTCTAGGGCTGTACCCAAACCAGACTGTAATTGAATCCAGGGAGAAAGGAGGAGGTGTGATCAGTTAGCCTCCCCCTAACCTTTGCCCCTCCCCTCCGACACAGGAGTAGTCTGAAGAAGAAATGCTGGGGATTTCAGGTGTGCCGGGAACCTCGCGCCGGTGAAAGCAAGCAGAAACCCAGCGGACACTCCCCCCCTCTCCAGGGACGTGGGCGCTTTCCAGGATGGCCCTCCGGCTCCTGCGCCCTAGTGCATCCCAGCGCCCTAACGCAACCCGGGCGGAGGAAGCACCCTCCTCCTCCGACTGCAGGAAAGACCTTCCTTCCCAGGAGGAGATGCCAGCTGAGGGATCTGGGACTCCCAAGTCCACCCCAGGCTCCTGGCTTAGGGGCCAGGCGATTGCCCAAGCCTCCCGGTGAAGCCCAGTCTGAAGGATCCCCCCTTTTGTTCACCCGGAGAGCGCGGCGCGGCGCTGCGCATCCCTCTGCGCTGAAAGCCGGGCTGCGGGGGGTGCCTCCCGGGGGGCGCGTCCCTGGGTCAGCTGCTGGCACGCCACCCGCTCCTGCGACCCCGGGCTCCAGCTCTCGGATCCCCAGCACCCCTGCCCTATTACTCACTTCTCCCCAGTCCCTCCGCTTTCCATGCTGTCTCCTCCACCGCCCCATAGCGCCTCAGAGGCTTTTCAGCTTCCAGATGGGTGGATAAAGATTGCTTTAACTCCATCGCTGATCCCCGCGGGCAGGTCGACGGGTCCCCCTTTACTCCATCCCCGCCGCGGGTTGCAGGGAGGGAGGCGGCTCCAGCCAGCAGCGTTTTAAGGGGCCGGGCGCCCGTGACGCGGCTCCATCTCTTCCGCCGCCAGCGCCCGGGAGCGCCGACTGGTACCCAGGAGGGGGGAGGGATGCAGAGCACATGCGCAATGGAGGTTTAGGGGGAAAGCTTGGGGGCAGGGTAGGGAGAAAGAGGGACAGATGATAAACTCTAAGAAGAACAACAACAACAACAACAAAAATAAAACCAACCCCAAAGAAGTAAGAACGAGGCTCCTGATCATTCTGGAGAGGGTGGTGTTGCGCTGCATGGGTCTGGCACTGTGGGTGGTATGCGATCTGTCAGTGGGATGCTAGGTTTTGAGTGGGATTGGTGAGCCCGTCTCTATCTGTGGGCGATGGATCCATCTTTGTAGGGAGTATGGACAAGCGTGAGTGTGGACCCAGATCTGTGGGTTCTGTGGGTCTTCGGGGAAATCTCTGGGTTTTTGCATCCGTGTGCATACTTTGAATATGAGATGGGACATGGATGCTTGTGTTGACTCCTCATTCCTGTGTCTGTATTTGCATGGACTTGAAAGAGAAATAGATGGGAACATTTTGGTCACAGGACAAGGAAGCTGTTTGGAATCAGGGTCTTTACTTGCCAGACACCCGCAGATGGGTTTACTGACAAAACATGGCAGCGTCGAAAATAAAAAGTAAGGGGCTGGGGCTGGGGTTCAGTGGCAGAGCGCTTGCCTAGTGTGTGTGAGGCACTGGGTTCCATTCTCAGCACCACATATAAATAATAAATGAATATAAAAAAATATAATGAATAAAATAAAGGTCCATTAACATCTAAAATAAATTTAAAAGAAAATATAAAGTCAAAGCTGGATTGATAAAAATCAGTACTGTTTGCTGAATGGCACCTGGGTGCAAAGCACTTCCCAATAACTCTGTGAAAGAGACAGCATTCTGCCAGCCTTGTTTTGCATAGGGGGGAACTTGAGATGCACAGAGATTATTTGACCAAATTCCCACACTTACTGAGTGGCATCGTCAGTCCATGAATCTGGATTATTTGAATCCAGATTTAACCTCTTCATCATTAAACTGACTTCCTAGACTGCAGTTAGGATGTTTTGTATCAGGACATGGGTTGCTGGTCTATGTTGTCATTTAGACATGTCATCTGGGACAAATTCTGGTATCCATATGGCTTGTGGAAGTGTGAAATGGCCCAGTCCTTTAAGAAAATGACTTAGCTACTTAAAATGTTATTATCGATAATGAACTTCTAAATCGCTCAAGGGAGAAAAAAGAAAATAACATAGAAAATCATAAAATATTTAGATCTGAATAACAATGAGAGTATCATATGCCAAAATTTATAAGTTTTTTTTTCTAGGAATGGGGTCTTGCTATTTTGCCCCGGCTGGCTTGGGACTTCTGGGCTCCTGTCTTGGCCTCCTGAGTAGCTGGGACTACAGGTACAAGGAGATCATGGTGTCTAATTTCAAAACTTATAAATGTTGATGTAAATAAATAGACAGCTTTAAATGCTGCTATATCTTGGATCTGGAATGTTCCGCAAAGGCCCTTGTGTTAAAGGTGTGGAGTGCCCAGCTTGGTGCTATTAGAAGGTGCTGGAAACTAAGAGGCTGGCCTAGTGGGAACATGCTCTTGAAGGGGACAGTAGGACCCCAACTCCTTCCTCTTCCTCTATTTTTGAGCCCCAGGCATGAAATGAGAAGCTTTGCTCTAACACATACCTCTCGCCATGATGCGCTGCCTGGTCACAGGCCCCAAGCAATGAGGTCAACCAATCAAAGATTGGAACCTCTGAAACCCTGACCCAGAAATAAATCTTTTCTCTTGATACACTTCTTGTCTCGGATATTTTATTACAGTCAGAGGCATATGACTAACCAACGCATTCCTTAAAAAAAGGTGAGACTAAAATGGTTTTAAACATGGAAAACTAAAATGGGTTAAGTTTTCGACTCAAAAGACCGCATTTAAAAAGAACAGATGAAACCTAAGTAAGAAAAAGTAAGTGATGAGAAGAGAATAAATTAAGGGAATAGAAAACCAAGAAGCAATGAAGAAAATCGACAAGATCAAAAGCTGATTTCTTCCGTTGAAAACCCTCCCAAGACTGACTTTAAAATAGATACTTGTAGCCAGGTGCCATGGTGCACGCCTGTAATCCCAGCAGCTCAGGAGACAGAGGCAAGAGGATCCCAAGTTCAAAGCCAGCCCCATGAGTCATTAAGCAACTCAGTGAGATCCTGCCTCTAAATAAAATTCAAAATAGGGTTGGGGGTGTGGTTCGGTGGTTGAGTGCCCCTGGGTTCAATCCCTGGTACTAAAAAAAAAAAAAAAAAATAGATACTCATGAGTAGTATTGAGAATGGAAGCTGAGTGCAGTGGCCCACTCCTATCTTCCCAGCTACTTGGGGGCTGAGGCTGGAGGATCATGAGTTCAAGTCCAACCTAGGCAACATGGAGAGACCCTGTGTCAAATATAAATTAACAAAATGAGACAAAATACAGCACACAGCAAGATGTTTAAAACTCAGTTGACATGAGTAACGTTCTCTTTTTTCAAAAAAAAAAAAAACTATCAAAATATATTTAAGAAATAAAAAGAAAATCAATAACCATTACCAAAACTGAATTACTATACAAGTTTATTTCCCTCCCTAGTCCTACAAAAGCAACAGACCCAAATAGACCCAGGTCCTTATTTTATAAAAATCACTTTAGAGCTCATTTCATGAGGATAATATGATCTTAATACCAAACTAGATAAAAATAAAAACACATCAGGACTGGGAATATAGCTCAATGGTAGAGTGCTTGCTTCACCTGTGTAAGGCAATGGGTGCAATTTCCAGTGCTGAAACACACACACACACACACACACAAATGGGATTGGTTCTCAAACTGGAATATGGCCCAATGTCAGAAAATCTATAGATATTTCATTTTAATAAATATGATAAAGTTATTTGGTTATTTAAATGAATACAGAAAAGGCTTTTTAAGAAATTAGCAGTCATATATGTCTGTATTTTAAGAATAGGAGTACATTTCCTCAACTTTCCAGAGAAAAACTATAAAATACAGCAAATATTACCTTTACAGCTGAACTTCCAGTCGCATCCCCATTAAAGTTGGGAACGAAAAAATATGCCTGCTATTCCCATTTCTGGGCCTCATTAGAAAAGAAAAAATAAATGAGGAATAAGAATTGAAATGTGAAACAAAACTTTCTTTTCCAGACAGTGTATTTTCCTACATAAAAATGCAAGCAAATCCACAGAGAGGCTGATAAAAATGAATAAAGAGCAAGGTTTTGGAAACAAGATAAACATTAAAAATAGTAGTATTTCCTTACAACATTATTTTTTAAAAAATATTTATTTTTTTTGGTTGTAGTTGGACACAATACCCTTATTTATTTATTTATTTATTTATTTATTTTTATGTGGTGCTGAGGATCGAACCCAGAGACTCACACATGCTAGGTGAGCACTCTACCGCTAAGCCCCAGCCCCAGCCCTCTACAACGTTATTAATTAAACTAAAAATATAATCATGATAGCAAAATAAAACATTGAGAAGAAAATCGTTATTTTGTGTCACTGGGACAATTGATTAAGTCGTTTTATGTTGCACTGTTAAGTAACATTAAAAAAAAAAAGAACTGAAACAAGAAATGGGGGCTGGGGGTGCAGCTCAGTGGTAGAACCTGTACTTCCCATACCCAGGATCCTGGGTTCAATCCCTACCACTGGAAAAAAAAAACCTTAAGAAAGGGAAGGATTTATTTGTCGTGTGCAGGGGTAAAAAGAATCAATATGGTAAAGATGAAGATTCTCTTGGATGCAATTCAATTAAAATAGGAAAGAATAGGAGTTGAAATAAACTTTGATAAACTGATCCTAAAATTACATGAACGAACCAAAGACCAGGCACAGGAAAGTCGACCTGGAAGAAACGGACAAGGTAGAGTGTGGGAATCACATTTTCATTGCTGTGACCCAAATATCCGACAAGAACAACCTGAAGGAGGAGAAGTTTATTTGGGGCTCACAGTTTCAGAGGCTCTGTCCATGTGGGCAGAGTTCATTGCTCTGGGCCCGAGGTGGGGCAGATCATCATGGCGGAAAGGTTGGTGGAGGAGCCTGGCTCCATTCAGAGCAGCCAGGAAGCAGAGGGCAAAGGGAAGGGGCTGCAGGAAAGATGGACCCTTCCAGGGCCGCCCTCAGGCACCCACCTCTTCCAGCCACACCCTACCTGCCAAAGTCACCACCTTTTGTGTTCATTCCAACGTGGATGGACTGATTAGGTTACAGCTATCACAACCCAATCCATTCACTCTGAATAGTCCTGCGTTAACAGGAACTTTGCGGGGACACCTCGTCTCCAAACCATAATATAAGGTGAACTTAACGCCCAGACATCAAGACCTACTAGAAAGCCATAAGACATAGGTTGAGGCTGGGGTGTAGCTCAGTTGGTAGAGTGCTTGCCTTGCACGCACAAGGCCCTGGGTTCAATCCCCAGCATCATCAAAAAAAGGACATAAGATGAAAATTGATAAGCCTCAAAATAGACCCACGCATATTAGGAAAGTTGTTATGTGACAGAGGAGAATACTCCAAAAATGAGCCTGAGATATTTGCCAAACCAGTAGAAAACTAAAATAAAAATGACCACCCGTATCTTTTCCCTCTCTCTCTTTCTCTCCCCTCCTCCCCCCCCACACAAACACGCACTCATACACACATAAATTCCAGGTGGATTAAAGGCCTAAGTGAGAAAAGCACTACTGAAAAATGTTTGCAAAATAATGTAGGAAAATGCCTTCATCGTTCTGCGGTGAAGGATATGTTAAAAACACAAAAAACACCTATCCTGGGGCTGGGGGTGCGGCTCAAACCCAGCACTGAAAAAAGTAATTAAATAAACAAAGAGAAAAAACCCACAAGCCTTAAAGAAAAATATTATATTAATGTCACACTACATTATTTTTTATTGAAATTCATGTAACATTAAAATCAACTACTTTAGCTAGGTGTGCTGGCACACACCTGTAATCCCAGTAGCTCAGGAGGCTG